CGTATGTGTATAATTTTGTCAGTAACATAATGTAGATGTCTGCCCAAAATAACTCCAGAACGGGTTAGTAGATTTACTGGCCCAGTTTGACCAACAGGTTACAACATCCACAAGAGTAACCATTTGGTACAGATGGCGTTATGAATGACCAAGTATTGCCATGGTAACTGTTTTTGCAATGGTAATACATAGAATTTGGGGAGGTTATAGAAAACGATGACATGAGACAATCTCCAGCGGTGACTACATTAATCTACGGTTAAGTTGCCAAGTGTTTGATATTTACGGTACAATGGCAACGGTTTAGGGGCAGGGTTTGTTTATTTTTGTTTTATTATTATTGTTGATCTGATACGTTTATTTAGCATCATTTGGGAGAGAAGATTATCTTAGAGAATTAATAAGAATCCCGACCTGGAGCTGCTGTGTGTTTACTGAATAAATCATAAGTGGTATTAAATATATGTTTCTCTTACAGATGGCTCGTGTGCTGCTGCTGCTGCTGTGGGCGTGTGTGGGCGCCTCGTGGGCGTGTCCTCGGGAATGTCGGTGTTCCCTGGACGAGCGTGGGCGGCGGGGTATCCGATGTGAGTCTGGGGGCATGAGAGACCCACTGCCCGTCACGGACATGGGCGCCGACACAGAACTTTTAGTGATCTCGGCGCCGCCCAACAACCCAAACTCCTTCACGCTGGGCCCCATCTTCAAGGGCCTGAAACTCCTGGAGGAGATGCACATCACACACTCAGGGATCCCCGCCCTGGGTGCTCACTCCTTCTGGGGCCTCCAGCGCCTCCACGTCCTCAACCTCACTAACAACCACATATCGGCCCTCATGGAGACCAACTTCCGCGGGGCCGAGGTGTTACGTCACTTAGATCTGAGTCACAACCGCATCCAGTCCGTACCTTCAGCAGTGTTCCGTCACGTGCGTCACCTACGGAGCCTCACCATAGCTAACAACGTGGTGCCGGAGTTGGTGCCGCGGATCTTCTTCGGGCTGGCGAGGCTGGAGCGGCTAGACCTCAGTCACAACCCCCTCGGGGACCTACAGCCCGAGAGGTTCACTGATGTGCCCGAGCTGAGGCACCTGTCGTGTGCTGGGTGTCATCTGAGCTCCATCAGCAACACTCTCCTCCACACGTTGTCACAACTACGTGATCTTGACCTCCGTAATAACCGCCTGACACAAGTGCCTCTCGGTATAGCCTCCAATGCTTTACCTCACCTGGTCACGTTAAGACTTGACGGCAACCATATATCCTTCGTAGAGCGAGGCGCCGTATCCGGCTCGCCTCTCAACTCTCTTCATCTATCTCACAACCGCATCAGCCGGCTGGAGACCGGCGCCTTTGCCAACAATTCCGTTAAGCATCTGGATCTGTCATACAACCGCATGGCACATCTGGAGGCCAGCGCTCTGCAGGACACACTCCACCAGCTGCACGACATCCAGCTGTCAGGTAATTCACTCCACGTAGACCAACTCCTCAACGTACTACCCAAGGCTCGTCAGCTCCGTCGGTTAGGTCTTGGTGACATGGGCCTGACCAGAGTACCTCCTGACCTCCTGCGACACTCACGACACCTCCACCACCTCAACATGTCGGCCAACTACCTGACGTCATTCTCTACAGAGATCCTCCACAACGCACCTCATCTACATTCGCTGGATCTCTCCCTTAACAGCTTCCGTGGCCTGGATAACGCCTTCTTTGAGACTGTAACCTCTGCTATTGAACTACGTACACTACGCCTGGAGGGCAACCCTTGGAATTGTGACCAGTGCCACGCAGGGCCACTACAGCGGTGGCTACAAGACGCACCCGACCAAGAGTCTGGGTGTGACGAGCCGCGGGTGTGGACGTGTATCAAGTGTTCAGGTCCTCGGGGCGTGGAAGGGCTGGTGCTGTCTCTCCTGCCTCCTGGTGACCTGCCAGCCTGCCCCTTCACCACCCCGGCAGCTGTCGTCGTCTGGCCCACCTGGATAGAACCTTCCCTCGACGTGATGACTAATGAACCTGAACTACCTCGAGGCCAACTGACGAGGCAGGAGGACGTGGACGTGGGGTGGTCAGTGAAGAAGATGATGAGGGAGGAGATGTACCTGGTGATAGTGGCGGGTTGTGTCCTCGTCCTCCTCCTCCTGGCCCTCATCATCGTCGGGATCGTCCTCTACAACAGACACTCGGCCTTCTACTACACCTACGAGGAGGACCCCGAGAAGAAGCAGAAACTCATGAGGTTTAGGGACAGTAAAAACAACAACAGTCCAGGAGTGAAGAAGGCCGCCAACACCCAGCTCGACGCCACCATCGCCACCATAGACGAAATGACGGATATTGCCGGGTCACAGGAAGTCTTGGAGGAGGACCAACTCGACCATAACCACGACCCCGACCAAAACCACGCCCCCGACCATAACCACGCCCCCGACCAAAACCACGCCCCGACTGAAACCACGCCCTACCAACAACCATAACGCAGCTCCTATCCAAAACCATACTGACAGTGAAACTCAACCACGTTCCACCTCAAGAGGGAAACCCGGCAGAGAACCGACCCAATAGTCCAGCTCTCTAAAGTAGTGTGTGTGTGTGTGTGTGTGTGTGTGTGTGTGTGTGTGTGTAACAACTAACTATGAGGACGTAAGCCTCGTGAAGGAAACTAAAGGCAGACGCTTTAATACTCTCAAATTCTTCCTAAACTGAACGGCTGTGAAGACAGAGACACCTGTACTGTACTGTGGGAGGTGAGGGACTTGTGTGGTGAGGAGGGACTCCAGCTGTGTGAGGTGAGGGACTTCCTGCTGTGGTGGGGTGAGGGACTTGTGCTGCTGTGTGGGGGTGGGAGGGACTTGTGCTGTGAGGTGAGGGGGGTGTGTGTGGGTGAGGGACTTCAGTGCTGTGTGGTGAGGTGAGGGACTGTGTGTGAGGTGAGGACTGAGGAGGAAGGACTGTGCTGTGTGTGGTGGGGTGAGGACTTGTGCTGTGTGGTGAGGTGAAGGACTTGTGTGGTGAGGTGAGGGACTTGCGTGGTTAGGTGAGGTGGGGACAGCAGTTGGAATTTGTGCTGTTGTGGCATCAGTGTCGCCAATTTTCAATGTTTTTGAAATTTTTGTCAGTGTTCTTGTGTGTGTGTGTGTGTGTGTGTGTGTGTGTGTGTGTGTGTGTGTGTGTGCGTGCGTGTGGCTACGATAAAACTGATCTCCTTAGACTATCCGGCTTAAAAAGTTTTATTAAATCAATATTGTGAAGAAAATGTAAAATGAAACAAAGATGAATTTACATATAAATATATATATACATACATATATATTATATATCCGGTATATACCTCTTTCCTTATATTTGTGATGACCGTTATTGACAAGACGGCAGAGGCGAAAGTGCGTCTGGCGTATCATGGACAGTAACAGTGGCTATTGTACGCCAGGCACTGCTGATCGCTTGCACTATACTGGTGCTGGTGTTATGGTAGATACCGCCAGCCACCACTCATCCAGATCCTAGACCCGTGATGTCTTCCAGAACACAAAACTTGACTGAAAACTTTAATCTTAAAACATTTTGTAAGTGACCTGAAATATCAGTTTTTAGTTCCTTAATAATGAAAAAAATATGATAATAAAAGACAAGAAAATGAAAAATACGAAAAAAATATAATGCCTTTCACATGTGTAAGTTTTGTGCCGTTCCTAACTGTAATATTCATCGTGCATAAAAAAAAATAGGGTTTTGTAACTTGCAGCAGATATCGTTTCATATTTTTTCACATTATCTTAGAATTTAGCTGAACTGCTGTTAAATTTACCAGACCTTTATGGCAAAAGAAAGAAAAAAATAACACGTTTAGTTTCATCTTGGTGAACTGTGAACCTTTTTGTCCGAAACAGTGAACCAGCGAGACAATTGAAGCAAACACTGTGTGGGTAATATCGTGTTTTATGTTAGTCTTACCAGCAGCTGACAGGAATATATATACTGGTGAAGATAATATTACCCTGAAGTATGTTATGAAGATAGTGATATATTCTTCAGTATATCATGGAGGAAATTATATAACCTGAAGTATATCGTGAAGAAAATCATAGAGCCTGAAGTATATCGTGAAGAAAATTATAGAGCCTGAAGAATATCGTGAGGAACTTACAGAGCCTGAAGTATATCGTGAGGAAAATCATAGAGCCTGAAGAATATCGTGAGGAAATTATAGAGCCTGAAGTATATCGTGAGGAAAATAACAGAGCCTGAAGTATATCGTGAGGAAATTATAGAGCCTGAAGTATATCGTGAGGAAATTATAGAGCCTGAAGTATATCCTGAGCCTGAAGTTTCGTGAATTAATATATTTGTTAATAATCCTGCTAGTCAATTCACCTGTTTTTCTTTTTATAAATATATGAATACAATTATATATACATATACAGTATAATACAATCTTAAATGTGAAGAAACAGATCTACTCATGTTCGGGGTGTTCGGGGGTGTTCGGGTGTGTTCGGATGGCAATTTGTGTTCGAATATGCTTGATCTTAACTTAACAATAACAATCATTACTCCCCCTCCAGTGACTGACTTCCTGTTCGGGTGTGTTCGGGAGTGTTCGGGTGTGTTCGGATGGAAATTTCTGTTCGGACAACACTTTATCCATTCCCGACAACATTTACCCAGTGAATAAAGTGATCATTAATAATCTCTAATGTATTTCTAGAGCAAAAGTTCTGGGTGAAAATTTATTCTATAAAAAAATAAACTTAATCTCATTCTGGGTGAAAATTTATTCCCAATCTTGGTGTAAAAATTGTAATTAATTCTGGTCAAAAAAAAAATTCCTATTCTGGACTAAAATTTATTCCCAATCTGGACTAAAATTTATTCCCATTCTGGACTAAAATTTATTCCCAATCTGGACTAAAATTTATTCCCAATCTGGACTAAAATTTATTCCCTTTCTGGACTAAAAATTTATTCCCAATCTGGACTAAAATTTATTCCCAATCTGGACTAAAATTTATTCCCATTCTGGACAAATATTTATTCTTATTCTGGACTAAAATTTACTGGGTGAAAAATTTATTCTCTGTGTCACGTATTTTTTAAGTTTATTCTGTACATAAAGTATGTGTGTATAGGTTATTTTAAAGCTTATTTTAAATGTACAAATTTTATACTACTCCTGATAAAATAAATTACATGAGATATATTTCTTCGTGTTTATTTTCCTTGAGAGATAGAGAGATAGTGAGAGATGACAGAGAAAATAAAGAAAATGATATAGAGAGAAAAATTGAGATAATAATTAATGGAGATAGAGAAATGATGAGAGATAATAGGGAGAAAGAGAGAAAATATTAAAGAAAATTAAATAGAGTTTAATTGACAACGATCGACACTACATGGAGAAAGAGAGAAAATGAGAGAAAATAGTGAGAAAAGAGTAACCAAATGGAGAGATAAAGAGAGACTGAAATAAAAGAGAGATACTTAGAAAAAAAAAGAACGAAAATAATCAAATGAAAAACAAAGATAAATTTACAACAATAATAATAATAATCAAATCAACAAAAACAATAAATTAAAGTCTTTAGTTCATCCTGTAAGAAAAATCTCTCACAACTGCTTAATATACATGGAGTTAAAAACCTTAGTTCATCCTGTAAGAAAAAAAAAATCCCGATGGACTGAGGAAAGCTGAGGTAATAGACTATAATACTTGAGGCAAATATATAAGACTTCCTTTATAGCTGAGAGTGAATATATAATACCTCTTTATAGCATACTTAAGTGAGTATGATAATCTACCCCCCCATTATACTAGACAAGTGAGGCTTTTACTTTATTCTTAAGTGACAACACCGTCTTCTAGGCCACTTGAACTGAGAAAAGCATTAGGGTTTAGTTCTACTTCGTTATTTTGATCATTTTCTTCATTTTCTTGGTGATTTTTATTATTTTATTTTAGGGATTATTTGTCTTCGTTATATTTTTATCCTTTGCCTCCTAACTCATCCTCCCAACCCCCTCCCCTACAACCCCCCTCCCCTACAATCACCCCATCCCTCCCTCTACCCCCCATCCAGCCTCCAAAATGAAATTGATCTTTCAGTAGTAATTTTATCCGAGTGAGGCAATAACATGTAGATGAAGACTCTGGCTGAAATGAACCCAAGATCGCCAACACCAGCCGATACCTGAATCTCCAACACCAGACACCACAACACCACTACACCACACCACCAACACACTACCACACCACCACCACAATCACACCATCAACAACACTCAACAGAATCTCACTCAAAAACAAATATTGTAGCCATAATGACACACACACACACACACACACACACACACACACACACACACACACACACACACACACACACACACACACACACACACACCTATACCATGACGCTAATTTCTGATACAATGAACTCGGGAGCCTAAAAGGTTATTCGTGAAAATAAACATCACAAAAAAAAAATAAAACGCTGCCCACTCACTCTGTATGTAAATGTGAGTATCGTATAAAAACAAACACTTTAATGCAACTCTATGTTTTCTTGGTGTGTGTGTGTGTGTGTGTGTGTGTAATCAAGCAAGCTAGATCAGTACATACATACACTCGTCATCAATGGTCAATATAACTGCTATCAGCTTACCATAAAAATCTGACAGTCGAAATCAGAAGGCGTGTCAGGTTTGGCTATATCTCTATGAATAACTTAACTGACGGCAGAGTACATGGAAAGCAGAGAGACAAACAAACAGAGCCCTCCTTCCCCCAAATGCAGTCAATAGATCAAAGGAAGTTTATTAACCCACGCCACACCTTGCCTCGGGTGCTTCAGTCATTTGTGTTTATTGATCAGTGTTTGTGTGATCATCTGTCAACAGGTGCGACGGTCGGGCTTAATGAGCGTCATTAGCATGCAAACACCTGTACAAAGGCACCGACCGTACACACACACACACACACACACACACACACACACACACACACACACACACACACACAGTGGCGCCCGTGTACTCAACCTTAACTCAAACGTAAACAAGACGTACCAGAGGTAAGAAGGGGCGTGTGTCCCTCGAGAACTTGTTACCTGCACTTACCTGAAGAGAGAGAGAAAACAACCATTAATTGTGTTACCGGAGTTAAAACCGACTTAAAAACACCCATTTAAACCTTCCCTTAACTCACTTAAACCTTCACTTAGATAATTATACTTTTATTTAAACCTTCCCTTAACTCACTTAAACCTTCACTTAATTTTCCCTATTCCTCAACTTAAGTTTAATTAAAAAATTTAAACCTCTTAAACTTTAATATTTATCATGAACAAAATAGATCAAATATTAATAACAAATCATAATCAAAAACAATTATTCATGAAAAAATCTGAAACGTTATGAAAAGCATTGCAACATTATGAAAAACACTAAAACACCACAAAAAACACTGAAACACCACAAAAAACACTGAAACACCACA